AACAGATGGGCAGAGGTGAGAATGTCCCGGCCGGTCTCTGTGACCCCACAGGGCTCCCAAGCACTGAGAGGGGACCAGATTGAGAAACAGCTCCTGCGGGGCAGAGAGCAGAGGTTAAAGTTCCCCGGTGAGCAAGTCTTCCCCTATCAGGAATCTGAGGGTCTCAAGTGGCCAGGGAACTGGAGGGGTCCAGGACTTGAAGGGTCAAAACCACGGGGAGGGGAGGGGTAAAGCTAGCAGTAGGACAGCCAGGAGCCAGATCAAGAAGGGCTGGAAGCAAGGAAAGGGTCTGGATTCCAGAAGAAATTGGTAAAGGGGCAGGGATGGGGCACTGGGGTCAAAGGTCAGGGTCTCACCGCATCTAGCAGGGTCAGCTGCTCGGCCAAGTGGTCAGCGAGGAACACCAGGACATCCGTGGGGTCAGCAGGGGGGTCGCCGGGGAGGGCCAGGGGCTTAGGAAAGTCAGGGGCCTGGGGGTCCACCCGGGACCGGAGGTTGCGGATGAGGTCAGCACCGCACCCCCCAACACCCTCCCCTGCTGCATACCCTGTCCGAAGCAAGAAGCTCTCAAGCCGGTCAAGCTGACCCTTGACCTCAGAGCCAAAATCCTCAGGGTGAGAGGCCAACCAGGTGGACAGGACAGAGATGGTTACCCTGGGAGAAGGGGAATCAGCCAAGCGTCAGAGGTCCCGCGGCAGCTTGGGCAAGTGGGACTGCAGTGGAGACACGGGGGTCACTCACCCTGTCATCCTCTCTAGCTCATCAGGCGGATGGGACTCCAGGGCTTCCAGCCTGAGGGAAGAGGACTAGTCTTGGCAGGGACTTGGCCCAGGGGCTCCAGGAGTCGGAGGGGTCTTCTGGCTTTAGGGGGCCCAGACCCCTCCACAAGCGTTGGTCCCTTGTGCCCCTGACCTGTCCACCACAAGCCCCAGCAGGGTGGGTGTGGAGGTGAAAGCCCGGTGGGTGGCCAGGAAGGTCGACGCAAAGGTCCTGTCAGCCTCTGGCATCCGGATGTCCAGCAAGTGTCTGACCAGGGCCACCAAGGTGCCACCTCGGAGCCGTCTTGAGGAGCGTGGGGGAGGGGTGGGGGCCTGGAGGACACAGAGGCAATCACTGACCACTTCAACCCTGGTCCCAGTGTCTGGAACAATCCCAGACCTAAGAGCTGATCCTGGCACCTTCTGAGATGCAGAAGTGACAAAAGACTTGGCTAGTCATACAGCACAGTCCTGGACTCTGGGCCTCCAACTCAATGCTCTAATCAAAAAGTCAGGGGCCAGGGACATAGCTCAGTAGAATAAGTGCCTGCCTGGCAAGCACAGGGTCCTGAGTTCAATCCTTGGTACTGGGGAAAAAAAAAAAAAAGTCAGCCAGAGGAAGGGAGCATGAGGAAGCCACTGGGTGCAGAGTTGCACACCTGTAATCCCAGGACTCGCTCGGGAGGCTGAGGCAGGAGGATCATCGTGAGTTTGAGGCCAGCCTAGACTGCATAGAGACCCTCAGAAAAAGAAAACCAAACGAAAACCCCACAGGCGAAAAGCCTAAGTTATGATCTCACCGTAGGATCACGAGGCCGATATTGGCGGCTTGTGACAGTAAAGATGGCCCCATCCTCCTCCTCATCCCAGACAGACACAGAAGCCTGGAGGAGAAAGGGGAAGTCAGACAGACCCAGCACCCGCACTGTCCCCAAGCCTCCCACCCCAGGCCCTGATCCTCTAGCTGCACCCCCTCACCTGGGATAACGGGGGGCAGTACCAGCGAGTGCGAGAAGTGGGGGGGGCCGGTGACCCCAGGTCTCCCCCTCTGGGGCCCAGACAGCCCCCCCCAAGGCGCCTCAAGGCCCGTTGAAGTAGAGAGGGTTGCAGTGGGAGGCTGGATGGAATGGAGAAACCCTGACCCTGGAGATCCCCGGAGCCCCTTTCCCCCAGAGTTGAGCCAAGCACAGGAGCAGGGTGCAGACCACAAAGCGAAAGAGGCACGCGAGGCAGAGCCCTCGAGCAGCTGAAACCTCGGGCTCGGGCCCAGGTGCACGCCCCGCCTGCCCCGCCCCTCGCCGGCCCGCCTGGAGGGCCGCTCCTTCCCTCGGGGGCGCTTTCCCCACGTCCCCAGGACTAAGGCTGCCACCGTCAGCCCCGAGGAACCCCCCCCCAGGCGGCAGCTCCAATTCCAGTACAGGAAAGGGAAGTGGGGTGACGGGGGCGTACTACTCACAATCACGTGGCCCAGGCCCTCCCAACGGAGCCCGAAAAACCAGCCCGGCCAGTAGTCACCCAGCCTTCGCCAGCCTGGATCCAAGAGTTCAGGGCCCCTGGGCGTCAAATCTAACTCCCGGCCCCTCCTGAGTCCCAAGGCCCGCTCCTGGCCACTACCATTTGTCCCCAAGGAAGGCAAGGAGGATTCGCTACCCAGCTCGGGTGGTCGCTCCGCCGCAGCTGGGTTTCCAGGTCACTACCCGGCGCCGCGGGACGGGAAGGTGGGGGTGGGAGGGGTCACAAAATCTGAGTTTCGCTCCGGGATCCCGCGGTCGGCGAGCCGGTTGCCGTGGAAACAAACCCCTCCCCGCCAAACAAAAGCCGGCGGGAGCCGGGGCCGGCCCGGCCAACCAGACGGAGGCGGGCGCGCAGGCCGCAGCCCGAGCGACGCGGCGCGCTCCGCGCAGGCCGTCGGGGCGGCCGGGCTCTCCGAGCCGGAACCGCGGCGGGGCGAGCGCGCAGGCGGCGGGCGCCCGAGAGGCAGCGTCTGCACGCGAGCGGGCCCGCACCCTGTCTCACCTCTTCCTCCTCCTCCTCCTCGTCCTCCTGCTCCCCGCCCGCGGCCCGGACGCCCGGGTCCCCACCCGTTTCGGGGTCCCGGCTCCGGAAGCCGCTCAGCACGACTCCCCCGGGGGGGCTGGTGTCCCAGAGCAGCCGCAGGGGCCGCGGGAGCATGGCGGGCGCGGTCAGCGGGCGCAGGCCATGGGGGCGCCTGGGGAGAGACGCGGGTGGGCAGAGTCAGGCGGCGCGGCGGGCGGGCG